ATCCGATGTAGTTAGATGAAGCGGCCTAGTCGACTTGGATATGCGCTGCATATTTTCATGTTCAAGAATTAATGTTTATAGACGTATAAAATTGGGTATAAAATTTGTTGTTAACTTTTTGAGTCTTGAATCGAAGTGTTCTTAATCTAATTTTAAGCAAAAGTTAGTCTACTTTCTAGATTATTTTTCGGTTCTATCATAGCATTAAGATTAGGTTGATTAGGTTAAATGTTTAGCTTCCTACTCATTCATTAAAATAAGTATAACTTTAAGTTACAAAGGACTTAAAGCTAAAAAAATACCGAAAAAGTAAAAGATAAAAATAAATACACTTACCGTGGATTACAATAGTAACTAGGTGGCGCTATAATCATGTAAAACTGTATAAGCTTTTATTTATTTTCTAAAAAATTGCACACCAAAAACACAATCGCACAATTTCTCGTACATAAAAACACAATTGCAATTAATTTCCCTCACTATTTCCTTTAATTTCTACAATCTTGCTCGAGTAATTGGTTCTATCTCTTTCCAACTCTAGGCGGAAGATGTTAAAATTATTTTCAGGGTTTTCCAGGCTTATATCAAAAGGGCTTCGACTAACCCATACCCTAACGCGTCCGCCCAAGTGCGACGATGGTCAGTGCGTTTTTTGTTATACTTACTGTGAAATTATAAAGTATTATTATTTTTTAATTAGCCACGGGCATGTACAACAAACAGCAAGCAGCAACTTTGTGCAATTGGCAGCGGCTAAGGTCACTGCGATTAACCAACTGGCCAACTTGTGGGCCAAACAGCCACGCAGTCAGAGCCATGTACTCACAGGCGAGGTGCACACACTGACACACACACACACACACACAGACACACTTTGTCTATAAGGCTGTGCCGTCCAATTAAACAGCTGTGTGGGGCTCCAAGCAATGTGACTCACACATAGCCCCTCCCTCTCCCTCCCCCTCTCCCACACGCACACAACTAAGCTGTCATCGCGGACACAGTGCTGTCAGCTGCAGCTGAGTCGCATGCTATAAGCTGCTAAAAATAGCTAAAAATGGCTGAATTGTTGTTGAGGCAATGCACCCAACGTTACCTTGTTTTAGTTTTTAGTCAATCAGATTTGCGTTAATACTAGTAGATTTGGATTGCTTTTTATTTGTGTTCGTTGAACAATAATAAATATTATATGAAAAAAACAACATTGAATATGAGTAAAAACAAAGGCGTTAACTTTATAACTATATTAATTCTATTGGGTAACTTAGTAATCTATAATAGCTAAATATAAAAAGAAAAACTTTTTCAATTTAGAAACAACCAGAACTGCAAGATTTTAACTTCTGCCGACTGACAGTCTCTGAAAGTGTCAAAGTTTAGCTGGAAAGCCGCTGAGTTGGCAACTCTGTTGCGGACCAAGGCATCGCGTGCTGCTGCTGGCTGCGTGTGAGAGCGAGCTAACAGCTTAGCTAATGCCATCTCCCTTGCGCCGCTGGCCTGCACGCGCCTTCTCCTTTGGCCATGCGACAACATTTTTTGATTGTAACAAGTGGCCGGCGCGGGCTTTAGTTTTAGTTTTAGTTTTTGGTTCAGTTTCAGTCGGATCGGAGCTAATTAGCGCACAGAAACATTTTTAATATTCGTGTTTAGCCAACTTTTCAATAATTTAAAGAACTGTCGTCTTGTTTTTATGTTGAATTCTTTTAATTTGGTGTTCGATTTACAACATAAATTCATTCAAGTGCCGTTTATTTGTAATTAGAAATAAGAAATGGGTAATTCCAGTTCCATTTGTGCCGATCGCAATGCCATAAGGAATTTCGATGAAAATGGGTAAGGAAACGAAAGCAAAAACAAATGCATAACGAGGACAGTTGGAAAAAGTGCAAAAAACGAGAGCTTTAAATGATTTAATTTGCAAAATTAATTTTCACAAAATATATGAAAAATGTAATAATACCAAATGAAATATACGTATTTCTGTCATTTGTGATATTATTAATATTAAAAAAAAATATATCGACAGCAAATATCAAAAGAAATACGAATATTATGACTTTTAAGATTAAAGAAAACTGATGTTTAAATATTTAAAAGACAGTTTAAATATGTTTATTTGAAGCAAATAATGCCCTGAAAGTTTAGTTTAACTGAAACTTTAACAAAAAGTTGAGCTATTTTATTGACATTTGAGGTGTCTAGTTAAGATCTGAAATGTTCTCGAATTTATCACTTGCTATCTGTATATTTATCCAAGTCCACGATGTCTTACAAATTATTTAAGTTATTGTGGAATGGCAGCGAATATTATTAAATTTATAGATTATAAAGACAGATAGATAGATGGATAGAAAGCCGTGCAAGCCTCGATAGACGAGCTGTCGATATGACCTAATAATCATTTAGGCAAAGAGGATACGCGTTCTCGGGCTAATAAATAATTAATGCACACATATAGCATAAAGTCGCTAATTAAACCCAACTAACTTATTTACCAAATAACATGCAATGGTTCTAGCATCAGCAAACTTTAGTCAAAGGCTTGCAAGCACCTCGCCACTTGCTCACCCGATAACTTGTTGAGAATTATAAAAGCATGAAATCATTTGAAAAGATACTTAAGATTCCTTACGATTTAGTTAGCACGAGAATACACTGCCACAAGCTAAGACTCATTCCACACTAGCTGCAAATAGTATTCACACACACTTAGCACATTGTATTGATACCTAACGATAAATATCAAAAAATATAAACCCTGCCACTTAACGGCCACATATACTACAATTATAGACAGTCGACTCTTCCCCTGCCACAAAACACAAACATGGCGCATAGAGGCAATGTCATGGGCGAGACCACGCCCACTCTGGTTGGCGGTCCTGTCGATACAACTTGTAATTAATGTTTAACGATGCGATTTACCAGCGTTTTATTAGCGATTTGCGCGCGTTTCACTGACCCTACAAATACAACTACACACATGCACACACACACGAGTCGGCCCCATATGTAATTTGACAGGGGCTGTGGGCGTGGCAAGGCATTGATAGAATTAATGTCGCCGCGTTAAAAATATATTGAAGCACGAAATATACAAAAGTTGTTATAGAAAACAATCACAACATCTGTCTTAAATAAAAATAATAAATAAAAAAAAAACAAAAAAAAAGTAATTCAACAAAAATTAACCTATTAATATTTATGAAGGTTAGACGCATGTGTAAAATGTTGCCAGTAATTGCCCGGCCGTTGTTTTACTTTCGATTTTGTGGACCAGCTTTTGGCATTGGTTAACAAAAATGCGAGACTCGGGTCCGAATGTACCCTTGCCTAGCAGATAGTATTATTTTGTCACGAAATTGGTTACGCGTCGACCGAGGACATGCGAGGTCAATATAGCTAGATCTAGATAAAACTTGGAATAGATCGGCTTATCCCCTGCCCATGCCAGCTACCCTTCCTATTTGATCTTCTTTTAATTTTCTAAAATTTCATTTTATTCAATTGCTTTTTAACTTAACTTGATTTAATTTGCCAATTATTAGCTTAATTATGCCCCTAACATTTAAGCCAAAATTAATCAATATTCGAATATTCAATTCAATTTTTACTAAATGACAGCTTCACTTAGCAATTCCTTAAGCTTCAACAAAGTCTTCACATAATTAAAAACTGCCTGCATAAAAAAAAACTACTCCTTTTTGAACATATTCGAGAAAAAAATAAAAGTTAAATTTTGCTGGCAAAATGAACTGATTGTAATCTACTAATATCTGCTTAAATTAGAGAAACAACTTTACCAACTTTTTGACATTTTTGAACTAATTTATATAGATTATATAAATGGAATATCAATTTATTTGCTTAATTCAACATTTTTAAAATTATGAAAGAATATTTGTTTTCCTATGCTATATTTTGGAATCTCTCTAAAGTGGACAGTTTCCACAGTATCTCAAGTAGTTCACACAGAAACGATTATTCAAAAAATAATCTAGTATGATATAGATCTGATATATGTACATGTGTATATGCATAATCTTTTTCTGCCAGAGTATAAAAACTTCGGCTTGCTTAAAATAATATACCTCTTCACTAAGAAACACTCTAACTTCAAGCCAAACATGAAATAACTCCACATAATTTAAAATTAAACTGACTAAATGCCTCTTCATAGTTATTTGAAATTCATATCATCTGCCCCTCTTCCATTGCACTCATACGACGCCTCTGATAAGTATGCGAATTGTTTACACGCTCAAGCGAAATGTTTTTATGCCCTGATTGATTGTCATAAAGTCGTTCTGGCCTTATCAGCACTATGTGCATAGTCTACAACAGTCCCTTATGCCCCTCTCCCCCATCATTATTCCAAGTTGAGCAAAGCAAACAACGATGAGAAGCACAAAACGTATTGGAAAAACGAGAAGCCCCATCGAAAAATCTCCTGAAATCGCGATTCTCAGTTGAATTTTAGTGCTGCAACGTTTCGGTCAAATGTGAAAAGTGCTCGACTCTGACCATAGCCAAAGCGAATACTATATATACCTATATATAATATACATATATGATAAAGAGGGCATCACAAGTGCTTAGCATGTACGCGACTCTGCAGCGCTTTTCCCCATTCAAAACCTTTGGACGGCTCAAGAAGTAAATGCATATGTACAAAAACAAAAAAGAAATATATATATATATATGAGCATTTTACATAAGTTGACCTACCTGTACTTACCTACATTTATATGCATCATTATCATGAATCGCCAAAGAGGGCGTGGCACTAGTCTTATCTCTATTTGCGATTTGTCTGGTCTGCGGTTCAAGCATCACCTGTTTCTGAATGTTTTGCGATAAAGTATAATCCCAAAAACAAACTAAATCATGTTTTTAATGTTTCATTTGTCACTTTCAGACATTTTGTAACTGTTTGTAAAATAAATATATATTCTTTAAAATTTTTGATCCCATTTTCTAAATGCTCGTATATTATACCACATACAACGCCTTAAGTGGATATCACTAGATCACAATGATCAATTCATTTTGTCTAGTTCACAGAGTGCAAAGCTTGTATAAAAGTTATTTGAGAACGTATGGATTTTATATCTTTCCCCTGCCTCTTTTTGCTATTGATGTGCCGTTATGGAGTCACAATAATTGTTTTTTCAAAAAAAAAAAAATTATGCCGAGAACTGGGCATTTGTTCTGTCTACCCTACTAACTTACACACACAAACACACACAGCGCACTCTCTCCTCACATTCACTCTCTTCCGTCTCTCTGTCTCATTCACAGCACGCCGATTTATCCAACGGCCAATAATTCCCACAGCCCTTCCAATGGCCAAATAACACCATATCATCATCAGCAGCTACAGCAGCAACAACAACAACTAAATGAGCACGGTTATTACAAGACCACAATACCCGTTGGCGTTGGCACTGGCAGCGCCGTCAACAGCAGTAGCAGCAAACGCTGCTCTCACTGTCAAACAGCTGATTTGTGCTCACGCGCACTCGTGCAAGAGAGCATCGGCAACAACAACAATAATAACAAAATAAACGCGGCACAGCCAACACGCATACACACCCACACGACACACACACACGAAAGCACAAGCAGCTGTGATAGTGACTGCGCTGCCGCTGCTACTGCGAAATGGCGCAGTAGTCGTGTGTGTAAAAATCATACGACTACAACGATAACAACGCTCGAATACGAACTTTCCAATTTTGCAAAACTCACAACACAAATCAGTACGCAACGCGACGTTGACGAGGTAACAGCAAGAGCAGCCGAAGCTGAAGCTTTGCCACCACCACCGATATTATCCTCGAGCCACTTGCAGCAGCTACAACAGAGCCTGCACGAGCTACACCAGCAGCAAACAAAACAACTTATTGGCAAACCAAGCAACAATCTACAACAAATACGACGCTACAGCTGCGACATGAGCAAAAGCAACGATCTGCATCGTGATCGCCTCGGTCTCTGGGGCACCGGCGACAACGAGATTGTGGGCAACGTCTCTGGACTCGAGCGCCTGCAAAACAAACGCTTCAACAAGGTAAGTTAGAAGAGGAAGCCGCTTGCTACCCATACATACGAATAGCGGAAAAGTACCAGCATAGAGCACAGAACAGACAGAACGGGGTTGTTTCGGATATACATATATATATATGTATTTGTAGATATGTATGTACTAGAAATGAATGAACATACGCTCACACATACACACACACACTCCAAACGCCGCATTAGCAACATGTTAGACTGATACACTGTAAAAAACAGCTGATGATCAAATAATGTTTCATTAAATGCGGTCTTACCTAATTGAAAGTTTTGCTTATATGCATATAGTATTAGTTTTAAAACTATGATAGTTATTTTTGCTCAGTGCTGGCGACGTAGCCCTTCATTGAAAAGAAGCTGACGAAAAAAAGCTCAAGTTTTGTCTGCGAAATTTATGCCACAACTGCAAAAAGCAAAACCAAAACTCATAAATAATAAAAATAAATACATAGCTATTAAACATAAATGTCCGCTAACAATTTTCTTAAAAAACAAAAAAACAAAAAAAAAATGCGGCTGCCGGTTTGCTTGACCTTTAGATGACATAGCCAAAGCAAAACGTCCGTCCACGCGCCGCACTGGAAGACCAAAGCTCGTGTGGAATTTTTTCTTCTTTTAGTTTTTGTAGTTTTTGTTGTTCTTCATATAGTTGATGACAGCATGGGGGCATAGAAAATCAATAGAAAGTAATAAGCAAGTGTGTGAGCACGTAATTGAATGCCCGATAAACTGGCCAGTCAATTAACTATGTATTTAACTATTCGCAGCTATCTGAAGTGTTAACACAGCCAATTTGGTTGCACGCATTTTACCGTGCAGTTTTCATTTTCAAGTTCATTGCCAACTTGCAGATGCAGTTGTTTCTTTGTCTCTCTCTCTCTCTCTCTCGCCTTTGCAATTCGCCTTTCCGCATTTATCGCGCAGTTAAGCATTAAATTAACATGCAAATAGAGAGCGAGCGGGCAGAGAGAAAAAGAGAGAGAGAGGGCAATTATGCATGCGGGAGCAAACAATGCGCATGAGCTTTAAGGGAGGGTTAGGGTGGGGTGGGGCGTGTCTTTTATGTTTCATACAATGAGCATACTTATACAAGCAATTTAACGTCTTAAGAAAAGACAAGTCCCGTTAGTTAGTAGTTCGTATTATATTTAAACGTAACGTAAGGCATACGCAAAATAATTAATATAATAATGACAATATAAACATGAGGATATTTTATAGTACATTGATTTTAATAACAATAAAAAATAATTAGAAAAAAAAGTAGCTAAAGGTGACCCACAAAAGTTCTCAAGGGCTCTTATCAAAGTTTTCAAGTGCTTTCATATCTTATAGTATATACTTTATACTCTATAGTATTTGCATGTATTTGATTTGAACTGTTTTGCTGTCTAAAGGAAACAGCTGACTGTTTCTATATGCATCAATAACATATATGTACATATATGTATATATATAAATATTGTTAAAGCGCACGCTCAAGACTTTGTCCATTCGGTTCCATTGCATAATGGAAAAGTTTTCCAATTCTTATCGCAGTGCACATATACTAAATACTATCAACTGCCTAACCCACAAAAACTGACCTACGTCAAGCTCTAAATACAGTTTAACGTATAAACTTGACTAATGACAAACCTTTATACTATATGCTTTCATATACATGGATGTGTATGGCACAAAATATTTGTTTAGATACAAAAAAGAAAAAAATGAGCCAGACAAATCATTTGCATGTTTGCCTAACTTATCCGCATGATGTTGTTTATAGGAAATTAAAGAGCACGAAAGGCATTATTGAGAGCAAGTCGACGTTCAAATACGCTTACAGCACAAAAGTAACTAATTAAACATTAATATATGTCATAAGAAATATGGAAGGTAAAAGTACTTGTGCGGCATTTTCCTATCTAAGGCTCGCATATAGATGTTATAGCTAATGTGCTTAATGTAAGTGTATGCAAATTTAAACAACTAATACGGTCAATGTGCTCCATGAAGCGAAATTCTGAACTTGGTTACTTCAGTAGTTCAATATGTAAATAGCTAGAGCATGGACTAAGAAAATAATATTGATAGTATTGAGTAATACTTGATATAAAGAATAGCTGGAGTAAGATTAACATTTGGGAAAGGGTATTGTGATGACAGAAATAAACAATTCATAGAAAATCAATTTGCTTAAATTGTGGACAAATTATGAATGTTGTTTCAATGATGATAATAGTTCTATGATACCCGTGTTCTGAACGCAAATGAGTGTTTTTTTGGGTTCGATCCCTCAACTAATGGCAATGCTTGGCCCATCGGCCTAGGCAAGCGTTTAAACTTAGTTGCAGGCAATTTTTCATAGAAGAAAGCCTTAGCGTGTGCTTAAAATAAAGTTGGTTGAGAAATTTGTTAAGCTTAGGCAATTTATGCATTTGTAGCTTGCGAAACGGCAGCCCACCCTTCGCGCCGCTGACCCACAATTCGCAATGCATAAGCGACACCGTGAAGACCTTTCACCTTTTTTAACAGGGGAAGCAATTTGTATGAAATTGTCTGTGTCCATGTCCGTGTCTGTGTCTGTGTGTGTTACGGTGTCATCTTTTGTTGTAAATTCCGCTGGTTTCGTCATCGCAGCCGCTTTGAAGTCACGCTTACCGCTGCACGCTTATCGCCAACGACGGCTGCCCCCTGATAATGAATATGATGACCGACATCCCGCCGTGCCAGACACCGCAAACATCAGCTGAGCGCTAACCAAGCTATATTTGTATTTCTTATATTTTATTTCTTTTTTTTTTTGCAATTTTGTTGCAAATTTATATGCGTAATACAACGCTTGATTATTGCGTATACGCCGTGTGATGCGCTGGGAACTGCTTGCTGTGCGTGTGTGTGTGAGTGTATACAGCTATGGCTGTGTGTGAGTGTATACAGCTATGGCTGTGTGTGTGTGTGTGTGTGTGTTTTGGACGTGTTGCCAGGCAAACGATCTCGCGCACCGCCCGCTTATCGTAGATAGTAGAGCGCAACATTTCAATGTCAACGGTGTCGTTTTCAACGGTCTCGCACTCGCTATTTCATCAGATCCAATGATGACGTATCGTAAATAAACGATATTTCGAGCTATTCCAGAATGTTTGGTTTGCCTATCGGTTAGTTAATTACCCAGACTACGACTTAGTTAATTGCTTTCAGCCACTCAAAGCATTTTTTGGCTACTCATCCACACACGCTCCCGCCACATGGGGTAATGATTTTTTCGGGGCTGGCTTTAAATTGCTGAAGATTTTGATTAGATTAAAACTAATTTGCTGTTTTATGTGGAAGATTTCCATTGGGAGGCGGGCAGGCGCATCTGATGTTAATTTTCACACGTATTCACGCCCTAATTGAACAATTTTGCCCATTCAGATATTTATTTTTACTCAAGATGAGTTGGCAAGAAATTTACCCAATTTATGACGCACTTTTGTGTCTGAGTAAAGACAACATTATTTTGCGCTTTTATTTGCGATAAAACCCAATAGGTTTTGTCTTTTCTTATTGAAACTTAAACTTCGTTTAGTCGTCAGATCTTAAATAGCAATACAAATAATTTATTCAATTTGCTATTCTTAACATTCAAAAACACGCAAAGTGTACATCTAATGTGCCCAAAACATGCATGTCTTATCTAATGTATATATTTATACTTATACGCAAAGCACAATTACAAAAGTTAACAACTACGCGAACTGCCAATTTAATTGAACAAGTCTTTACTATACTATTAACAGATTTTTCCTTAATTCGCAAGTATCTTAACTTTAGTCCAAGCGATTTGGCTATTATTTATTATTACAACAAATAATTATGAAATTACAATGATGATTAGATTTTAACAGGAGGTTAAAATCTCCAGCAATTACATCATAGAGACAATTCTTTTCTTATAAAAATTATCAATACTGCATTAATGAATTTTATCTTGATTATAAAACAACTTTAAAATGACAATAGCTCAAACTTAGCCCCGACCTGAAGGTATATTTATGCACATGTCAAATGCACAAACGTTAACTTCTTGTTATTCTTTGTATTGTCACGATTTAACATTATTCAAAGCCTTCAAAGAATGCGCTTCTGCTTTCATGTGCAATTTGTCAGGTAGCGTCAGGCATAGACGCTTCCAAGGAAGTTGCACAACCAAAAAAAAAAATATAATAAAGGTTGGGAAAACGTTAAAACACATATTTAGTACCATAAAGCTCATATCAGTTAATTACACAATAGCATAAACAAAACAAAAACTTTAAGTACAAACAATTGAGCGCTTTCAAAAGTGGCAAATCATGCTCTGAGCATTCGACTGCGTATCGAGGTCGCGGGTTGAGTCAGCAAACGGTTCGACTTTCAAATTGAAGCCCCTTCCAGCCCCATCGCATTTGAATACCGGTTCGTAATCGCGCATATATGGTCCGAGACGGCGACAGCTGCTGTCCAGAGATTGACTTTGAACTTTAAGCATATTTCGCATGCAAATCTCGTTGCCTATCGGATTTGACAGTGCATCCGGCGAAGGTCAGTTAAGAGGCGTCTGTCAGCCCCTGGGCACGAGCCCGAGCACGGTAACGGGCGCCGCCAGGTTGTCTGTGGCGCGTGGCGTTTGATCACACGTTACGCAAAGGTCTTCGATTGATAAGTGGTTCAGCCAGATAATGACATATGTTGACAGTCGGCCGTTGATTAAGCTAATCAGCAAAAGAGGTCGGCGGTTCAATTCTCGGGTCAAACGATCGGCTTTGACTTTGCTGCGAATATTTTGTCACATTCTTTCCTATTTTAATTGAGGCCCAATTCAATAAGAATAATATTATTATTATAATTATAACAAATTAAATTATTATTCTTATTATCCTTTGTTTTAGGGTCTCGCCTTTACACATGAGGAGCGCCAGGTGTTGGGCATTCATGGCCTTCTGCCCTATGTGGTGCGCAGCGAAGATCAGCAAGTGGAGCATTGCCGTATTCTGCTGAATCGTCTGGAGAACGATCTGGACAAGTATGTGTATCTGATTGGACTCTCTGAGCGCAACGAGCGTCTCTTCTACAATCTGCTCGGCTCGGACATTGCTCACATGATGCCGCTGGTGTATACGCCCACGGTGGGCTTGGCTTGCGAGAAATACAGCCTGGTGTTCCACAAGTCGAAGGGCATGTTCATCTCCATTAAGGACAAGGGACATGTCTATGATGTGCTCAAGAATTGGCCGGAGATGGATGTGCGCGCCATTGTGGTGACCGACGGTGAACGCATCTTGGGCCTGGGTGATCTGGGCGCCAACGGCATGGGCATACCCGTGGGCAAGCTCTCGCTATATACGGCTCTGGCTGGCATAAAGCCGCATCAGTGCCTGCCCATCACCTTGGACGTGGGCACCAACACACAGTCCATACTGGACGATCCGCTCTATGTGGGTCTGCGTCAGGCACGCGCCACAGGCGATCTGTATGATGAGTTTGTCGATGAGTTCATGCGCGCCTGTGTGCGCCGCTTTGGCCAGAACTGTCTCATTCAGTTCGAGGACTTTGGCAATGCCAATGCCTTCCGCTTGTTATCTCTGTACCGCGACAAATACTGCACCTTCAATGATGATATTCAGGGCACCGCGTCTGTTGCTGTCGCCGGCCTGTTGGCCTCGCTGAAGATCAAGAAGACACTGCTCAGGGATAATGTGCTGCTGTTCCTGGGCGCCGGCGAGGCTGCGCTTGGAATTGCCACCCTGTGCACCATGGCCATGAAGGAGGAGGGCCTGAGCGACGAGGAAGCCAAGGCACGCATCTGGATGGTCGACAGGTAAGCGCTTGTATAAATCTCAACTGGCAATCCAACTAACCCAGCATTTTCCTTGACAGCCGTGGCGTGATTGTGCGCGATCGTCCAAAGGGCGGCCTCACCGAGCATAAACTGCACTTTGCCCAGGTCAGCACGCCCATTGACACCTTGATGGAGGCGGTGATAAAAGTGCGCCCCAATGTGCTGATTGGTGCCTCCGCTCAGGGCGGTGCCTTCACAAAGGAGATTCTCGAGAAAATGGCCGAGATCAATGAGACGCCCATCATATTTGCCCTGTCGAATCCAACCAGCAAGGCTGAGTGCACCGCCCAGGATGCCTACACATATACAAATGGTAGATGTATTTTTGCATCCGGCTCACCGTTTGCACCGGTTACCTACAATGGACGCAAATTTTATCCGGGCCAGGGCAACAACTCGTACATCTTTCCGGGCGTGGCTCTGGGCGTCTTGTGCGCCGGCATGCTGACCATACCGGAGGAGGTGTTCCTCATCTCTGCCCAATGTCTGGCCGAACTGGTCAACAAGGAGGATCTGAGCAAGGGCAGCCTGTATCCGCCACTTAATTCGATTGTCCAATGCTCATTGGCAATAGCCGAGAAGATTGTCTGCTATGCCTATCAGAATAACCTGGCCACCGTCCAGCCCGAGCCCGACAGCAAGCTGGCCTTCATCAAAGCTCAAATGTACGATCTCGACTATCCGCGTGCCTTGCCAGCCACCTATCCCTTGTAAAGGGGAGCCCTTTGGAAGAGTCAACTACGGCACATTCAGCTACTCAACTCGTCGTGCACCAGGATATTCCCATTCTTCAAGTTTGTCGTCGTCGCGTTCAGTTTGGCATTGCAGCATACTTTCCATTCCACATGCTTCTATGAGTTGCCGTACGAATTTAGCCGCGGGCATCAACACCAGCAGCAACATGCATATGTTATTTATTTTATAGTCTCGCACACATCCTTTTTATTAGCATCCTTTAACACATGTAATAATCCTACGAAAACGCTCTATTCCGATTGTTTGCTGGCCCAAGTTGAAACCGAGAGAACACATCACACTGATATATAAAAAAACAAAAAACAAAAAAGTGTACTAACAGAAGATAATCATTTTTATGATGCTGATATGTTTGTAAATGGGATATTAATATGATAGATATCTTTGTGTATACAAATTCTATGTAAACGTGAACACAGACTATGCTAAGTACATAAGTTATATAAAAATAAAATAAATAAAACAATAATGAAAAAACATATTTCATTGTGATTCTTCAAGCTTACCGAAATTAGAGATTAAGCTGACTTACACTTATCAGGTGATAAATATTTAACATTGCTGTTAAATCCTAACAGTGTGACCAGGCTTATTTGGTTAAATACTTTAATGTTTTATGTTAAAACCAAATGTTAGATAGCAGGGTAAAGGGAATCTATGCACTTCAACAACTAGAAAGCTAGCTGGCTCTGAGATAAGCACTAAAAGTGTGACCAGACTAATTTGATTAACTATTATATAGGCTTGAGCTTAAACGTGAAACCGAAGAATACCCAACTCAAGCCTTAGATTCATTGTCGGGACTTGAGAAAAGTGAATAGTCTGTAGGCCAGCTGCATAATCTGAAAAATAAGATATTGATAAGCGCACAAAATGCAAAGAGTATCTGCCACTTACATCCGAAAAGTGCTTCATATTGACCTCGACCAAACCATAAGCTGTCAGCTTTCTGGTACACTGAGCATATTTGATCCAAATTAGAATCAACTTGCGGTACATCTTGCTGCCCATATACCAGTTTTGATTGTACAGAGCCTCATTCAAACGGGACGACTAAGGAAATCTTACATATGTATTGTATAGGCAGTAAATATCTCGCTTAACTCACGGCCTCCTCGATCTGTGTGCCACGCAGACAAATCTCGAAGGTGAACACCACCAAGGCCAATGTGGGCAAAATGTACTTGACAATCATCAACGGATCCTGCGTTTCGGTTATCAAATACAAATGGAAACATATGGATGTGGCGCCCACAAGATCAGTTATCAGAATCGCAAGCTTAAAGATGTCATTGAATTTATCGCATATCAAATTGAGCTGCTGGTGACGGCGGATCAGGCCACAGATGTGCTCATAGAACTGCCTTTCATCCATAGCATGGTGGGTGTCGGCTGCATTGAGCGCCTCCAGCTGCCTGCAAAAGCAATCCAGATGCATGATGACCTGGGCCTGCATCGTGTTGAACAAGGTGTAGAAGCTGGTGAAGAAGGTCACGCCCACCAGCATGCAATAGACATCGTATAGCCACACCAATGGATAGACCAAATGATTCTGCCGTAGGTCATAGGGCAGCCAGCCGCCAAGCAATTGGTAATCCAGCAATATGGGCGCATTCCTATCCTCATAGGTGAGAATGTATGTGACGACCGGTGTGAAACAGAAGCCGGGAAGTGCATAATTCGCATAGAGTCCCACGTATCCGTGTCGCCTGTGATAGCGGTCGAATACCTGCGACACATTAAGCACCCTTTGCGAGACCAAATCCTTGGGAAATTCCCGGTCCAACACATTGAGAAAATCCACAATATCGTGTCGCTTGATAAACATAATTATGCCCCGAATCGTGAAATATATCGATATGCTCAGCACGGGCAGATTCTGATGGGAGGTCTCGCCCAGATGGATCGATCTTAGGATGTCAAATAAATTGATGCCAAAAAACCAGACATCCAGCAGGAAACTCACACGGAAAACCATTTCCGACTTGTTAAACAAGCGTCCATCCGCATTTCGCACGAATTGAAAGTGCAGAAAATGAAAAACTTGCTGATATTTATGGAATTGCAAGAACTGCTCAATTTTGATGGGCTCATCCACTGCGTCCATTTCAAAATTGTATAAAACACTGTAAAGCCGTGCTGTTCGATGCGTCTTTATATGCAAATCTAACACCAGCCATAAATTGGATAATTATTGCCCATCAGCAGCTATAATTGTCTGCAGGTTGCATCAATCAGGACTTTGATTGTTTAATTGTTAGTTATAAGGTGGTACTTAATAGTGTGTGCTAGTAGTGGCTGGTAAGAGAGCGTGCGAAGGTTTAAGTATTATTATTAATTACTATATTTTGTTAATGCAATAAATACTAATCTACATATAAATGTAATACCAGTTGCATACAACATTTTTGCAAATATAAATTTTTGTTTGATTTTCCGTTTGACAAACACAAAACTGTTTTAATGTATTCAAATATATCCGAAATTAATTCATTTCAGTCTGGAATGTTTAGTTCAAAATTTACCGGTTTTTGCATTTAAATCATATTTATCGTTTTAATGTGTCGATAAGCCCCTCAGTCTTGCGCTTACGTTACGCAGTATCGCGCTTACGTACTCATCTTGCGTTTACGTTTGTTTTGGTTAGCGCATGGAAAATGCTATATGTTAGAGCGAGATATCAGCTCGGTTCTTTTCACAACGTAAATATTGTCAACAGCCAATGCAATAAAACATTGAATTGCACTGTAAAATAAATTTAAAATAAATAATAATGGAAAGGTTAACGGTAAGCGACACACACAGAGAAAACCCAATGTTATATGACTAATCAATGTACCCACTCAATCCGCGCACAGGCATGTTTCGAGCGACCTCAACTGGTAAACGAGCTGAAGCAGAAACAGGTGAGCGCCATGTCGAAAATAGAAATATAGACAAACACCTCTAACGATACGCTACACTCGTATAGGCCATAACAGATCGTCTGCTGCAGCGGATACTCTATTCGAAACGCCTGCTGGTGGATCATGTCGAGGCGCTTGAGCATTGCATGCAACAGCATCAGGCAGCTGCGCCCGGCCGGCAGTTGCTGACCACGCGGAATGCCTGCCTACTGTTGAGCGGCACCGTCCTGCAGCACCTGGTAACGCCGCGTGGCTTGCGACTGTCGCTGATGCCCTCTGTCCTGCTGACGAGCACCTTTGGCGCCCTTTGCGCCGTCAAGAGCGTCTTTGTGTGCCGCAACAAAATTGTTGAGCGCAAACTAGAGAAGCTGGTGAAGACCATTGATGAATTTGGCAATTGCATTAGACGCAACATGACCTACTTTCAAGAAATTATCATAATGAAACAGGCAGAGTTAATTGAGTAAGTGCATCGGGGGTACAGTAATAAACGAAGACGAACGTCCTTAACTTGGCTATTCGCGCAGATCACGACAAATAGAGCGCGCCTGGGATTGCATAACAGCGGCTAAGGAGGTAACCGAAATACTGTACGATGCAACACGAAAACTGGAAGTTGATTATCCGCTACCAGCCAAATATGGACCCTACTATGCGCCCATGGAGGAGCTGCGCGAATGTGAATACTTTAAGAACAATGTCACGGACTACAGCCCGAAGCACATTAAGGTGCGTTTGTGTATTACCATTTATATGCCCTACTAATCTCTTGCATGCTGCAGGACTTTCACAACATATTCGCCTATGTGCAGTCGCAGTATTTGCTGCGTCTGGCGCTCACCATTATGACGCGACCATCCATTTCGCAGCTTAGCGAAGATCTGGTGAAAATAGATAAACTGATGCGACAGCTGGTTCAGGAGGAGGAGCAGCATTTCCACAATCTGTCGCTGGCCATGCAGAACAAGAAGAAACTGGAGCTCGCCCAACTACACGCGACCAAAATCCAACAACAACCAAGCGGTCCCATTTTTGTACTGCAGCATTCATCCCTGAAGCTCAGCGCCTGCATGGTGGCTGTGGCCGGCGAGTGCCAGGCACTGGATGTCACGCTACAACAGCTGACAGCAGCCGAGGCAGCCAACAGAAACAATGCGGACCAGTTGGTGGCCGTGGCACACAATATGCGTGGCATTGAGAATGCTTTGGCCGTTTGTTGTGATGATTTCCAGCGCCTGATGCTGGTCTACAACAAGTTTCTGAATAGCAAATTAGGGCTGGGCATTGATGAGCCCGGTAAATATAAGTCGCCAACCAAGGAGCAAAAGTTTCCGGAGAGCATTTTGCGTGTCGAGTTCTCGCAGAATCCCGGCGAGCCGCAAAAGTGCGATGACTTCTATGCATATATGTACGATGAGATGGATGCGCGACAGTACGAGAACGACCATAAAGCACCATATTCCACACCCGAAAAGGAGCTGCTCAATTTCGAGAAGCGCATCACCAAGAGCAAATTCAAGCCTGTGCTCCGGCAGCTCAAGGATCGCATAGATCCCATACGCCGTGTAATGCTGGAAAAGGAGCGTGAAGTGCTCACCGCCAAGGGCATCAATGTGGATGTGCTGTTTGGCAAAGCGGAGCAGCTAGAACAGCCACAGGACAATCGCCTAACAAATGCCACAAGGCACAGCGATGACGATGACAGCGACTCCGAATCTGACTCAGCGGATGAGGCGGCAGATGTGCGCAGCAAGCAGATTAAAGAACGCGATAATTTTGCCGAAATGCGACAATTTCTCGCCCAGAAAGAAGCCGTCAATCTGTTTCAGCTGAATCCACAGATGCATCAGCTGCTGCTCCAAAAATCAAACGAACAGCTGGCACGGCCAACAGCAGCTATGGAGGAGGAGCTGTTGGAAAGCGAATGCTAGACCCAATTAGCTAGTGTTAGTCACATTATCGCTATGTTTATCATTTCATCTATATAATCTATGAGATAAGCGGCCCAGCTGCGTCGAAAGCGCCTTCCACAACAGTTTTTCTTAACTTCTGATTGTTTCGATTTCTATTATTGTTTTCTCCCCCTTAACATTCAAAGTCATACAAATTAATAAACCAATTTACAGAATATAGTACTAAGTTCTAGTATGTTCAAGTCCTGCAGTAAATAATCCTCGAATCTCAAAATATTTGGGATTTTGCTGATACAAAACAAAAATCAATTCATATTGTATAAAAGGTGATCTTTTAAGTTTCATCTAGAGGCTTTGACGATATAGAGCTCGCTCGCGCTAGTTTTAGAGATAATTCAAAATCATAAATTTTAATTTCTGGAAGCTTTAGTTTTCTATGCTTAAGATTAAAAGATAATTGAGAAATCTGGAGTTTT